AGTAAGTAAACAGCTATAGTGTATTTTTATGTATGAGAGAGTAATAAAACAATAAATTATGTATGCAAATCCCTAAACTGTTGATACGGGTGACTCAATGAAAAACAAATATTTGTCAACAAGTTTACAGAAGTATATAGGAAAACAATTTTAAATTGAGTATGACCACCAGGTATAAAGGTTGGAGCAGAATAGAATACAATAGTTGTGAGGGTTACTAATCCCTAAATAAGGTTGCCAGTGTCGGAGTGATGGAGGTTAACAGGTACTAATGAATTTGCAAGAAATGTAAGATGTTTATTTTATTTGTTATAAATAAAAAATAAAAGTTTAATAAGTACCTACCTATTTGCAAAATAAAATTTAATTCTTTAGATATAATAAAACGTTTTATTTTATCTGAAATGAGTGCATTTCACGAAGTAAGTGTTTCAACAATCAAACATTTAATTCTTTAATTCCAGGAATCTACGACAGTAATTGACTAGATAAATACCTTCTAAACTTATTCCACAGAAAATGTGATAGTGGGTTTTCCATTTTGTAGGAAGGTCCAAGTGGCGTATTCAAAATTCTTAACAGTTCACTAAAAGTAGGTACTTCAGTTGCAAGGTGCAGTTTATTGTGTATACTAGTGTTATGGAAAATTTGGAAGTGCCGTGTAAACGCCGAAAAATTGGTCCTTTAACAGTTAATGAAAAAATATTAATATTTAATTGATTTAAATCATTTACAGACAAACGTTTATGTGAAAGTGTTGATGAGACCGTTGAGTTAGTTAGCAGTACACTTGGTGTTGGGAAATCTACGAGTTACAGAGTTATTAAAGAAGAGAAATGTGGTAGTTTTAAAATGCCACGTAATGCTCCAGGGAAACCAAAATTTCAAATAGAATATCATTTTAAAGAAGGACTTCGACGGAAAGTGCATGAATTCTTCTTTAGACAAGAATTTCCAACATTGGATAAAGTTCTTGTCTCAGTTCGAGATGATAAGGATTACCCAGAAATGAGTCGAAGTACGTTATGGAAACTTTTAAAAGAAATAGGCTTCCGCTGGAAAAAGAATCCCAGAAAGTCTATTTTATTAGAAAGAAGCGATATTGTCATATGGAGAAAACATTTTCTAAGAACCATAAAGGAAATGAGAAACCAAAAAAGAAAAATATTTTATCTTGATGAAACATGGATCAACGAGGGTCATACACCAAATAAATTTTGGCAGGATGAAACTGTTACAAGTCAAAGGCACGCTTTTGTAAATAACTTATCTACTGGTTTAAACCCACCATCAGGAAAGGGACGCAGGCTGATAATAGTACACTTTGGCAGTTCAGACGGTTTTGTTGAAGGTGGTTTATTAACTTTTGAAACAACTCGTACCGGTGACTACCATGAAGACATGAACGCTGATGTCTTTTAAGAATGGTTCGAATAAATGATAGATCTTCTTCCTAAGAACTGTGTAATAGTAATGGATAATGCAAGTTATCACTCCAGACTTATAGAAGGACTGCCCACAACCAAGTGGTTAAAAAAAGACTTGCAGAATTGGCTGAGTTCAAAAAATATTACGTACCATCCCGGATCTATAAGAAAGGAACTTTATTCGTTGTGTGCCCTTCATAAAGAAAAATTTAAAAAATACGAAATTGATGAAATTGCCAAAAATCGTGGAATGACAGTACTTAGATCCCCACCATATCATTGTGAATTAAACCCGATTGAACTGGTATGGGCACAGATAAAGAGTGAAGTTTCAAGAAAAAATACCACTTTTAAAATTCATGATGTTAAACAGTTGTTTTTGGAGGCCGTAAATAATGTAAAACCTGAAAACTGGGAAAAGGCAGTAAATCACACTATTAAAGAAGAGGAAAAAATGTGGAAGCTGGACAATATTACTGATAAAATGATCGAGCCAGTTATTATAAATCTTGGTTCTGAAAGTTCATCTTCTGAATCTGATTTGGATTTGTAACAAGTAGCTGTAAGTTTTATATTAATATTTTTATTCATCTATTTAACATACCTTAGACGGTTTTAAAAACTCTTTTTCTCTTTTGTAATTTTTAAAAATTAAAAAAAATGTGAATTTTTTAAAACCCTTTTTAATGTAGGCCAGTCAGTTCTAATATAGTGTGTGATAAAAGAGGTCACTTTTGTTTACATACACATAACACTTTATAACACTGAAATAATTCATTTATTTTTTACAATTATTCAAAGTAATTTTTCAATTAATCTTGAGCACGCCCATGGAGTGGTCGGACGTACCAGTTAAAATTATGCTAATTACTCTCTCGTTCATAAAAATAAACTATAAACAAAGATGAAATAAAGTGCTGAATTTTAATTAAGTTAAAATATTAGAGCCAATGCGCACTGGAGTTGTATGTAAGTTCAATTTAATTTTAAAACTTGTCAGCATGTTTGAATATACGATCGTCAAATGTTTTCTATCTAGTGAGTATAAACCTGGATTGATCTGTAACTTTTATTACCTACGTATTTAGTGTAGTGTAGTGGCACATTTTTTCTGTATAGGGTATGTCACTCATTTTTTTTTTATATTCCGTAATATTCTTTTTTTGTGTACAACCTAAAAGTTTGTATGTTCAGTAATATTTTTGTTCATCTAATTTATAGGCATTTTTAGATAGTAAGTGATAATACCGATAATATGATGATAATTATGCTATAACGGAGGTAATGTCAAAGTATGTTTGCTAAATTTTGCTATTTAGATTCACCTTTCAGATTTACCGAGTTATAAAGGTATTCTATCTAATTTTAGTAAAATTTGTTTAATACTTGATTTGTCTAAATTTACATTTTCGTTTTTTTTATTATTTGTTTTGTTTGATTTATGTTTATTTTGTTAATATGTTGGCGTTCCTTAATACTTTTATCTAACTGACCTTTTAAGACATAAAAAATTGTTAATTTATAGCAAATATTTGTTTAATACTCTTTCATAATCTTTCTTTCTTCTGGTAACTAATAAGAAGGTAAATATGATAGGATTGTAGTGCAACAACATAAAGTAAGCGTGTTTGTTTCTCCTTCTCTTTGATTATATATACATTTTGGTTTTTTAGAAAGGTTTAGCCTATCTGTAAATTTTTTTAATCTTTCTTGAATCAATCTTCTCATAGCTCAAGTGTCAAGTTGTCTCATCCCTCGACAAGTATTAGTTGGCGCTCTTTATTTTCTTCCTTTCTTTCAGTACCAAATTCTGTTATTTTCATTGGTTCATTTCAATTTCCCATGTTTTTTGTAAATATAACCCCATCCCAGGTCTACATTTCAATTCCCCATTTTTTTTAAATATTACCCAATTCCAGGTTTTCTAAAGAAACCCCCATCCCCGCGTCCCAAAGCTCACCATTGTAACCTTTAAAACATCTGAGCACTGGTTTTCAAAGTAAACCTACTTGCACCTGAATTTCCTATTTCTGTTTTAATCTCCCACTTCCCATTAAGACAAGTATCGTTACAATCTTATGAGAATCATAAAAAATGACAAAAATGATGCAAAGTTTATTTATTTAACAGCTTTATAGAAACTGGTTTTATTTGCAGTAAAATATAAAACTTTTATATGAAATCTGCCTGTTTACCTTTAAAATACATTTTGATTTTTGTCGATAGGACACTTTGAATAAAAAATATTGAATTTTTACCGACGACCTGATACAAATTTAATTTAAAAAAATAATTTCTACATAAAAAGTGCTAATAAACATTTTAGTTCAGTATTATGTCAACTACATTTCTTATTTCAAACATTTTTTTTGTTATTTTTTGTTTTCCCCTCCTACGAGGGGGTTTTAGGGATAATCCCGGGATGGGAGTGACAAACTTTTTTACTTTTTTTTGGGACCAAAATTGACTTATCAGCAAAATTGAGCTTGTTCGTCTCGGTTTTAGAGATAAAATCCCTGACGATTGTACTGTTAAACTAGTTTTTTTTTATTTTATAATATATTTTAAATCTGAATAACAATTTTACTTGTATTTAAATTTTGTCACACTTTTATTATTATTTGTCCCCACGTTTCTTATACGTGTTGCCGCCCGTATCAAAAGTGGATTTGATTGATAACATTTATTGTACACAGTATCCCAAATTTGTATCCCCCTAAAACTTACAAAATAAATATTTTGAAAACATAATTTTGTATCTGGTTCTTAGTTTTACACTTGGGGAATGACCATGTTCCTTTTTAGATCTCCTTTCTTTGCAACTGTATGATATTTATTATTCAGTTGTTTTCTAATGTGACCCTTATTAACCTTTGTTCATTTCCGTTAGTACTTTTTAAATTATTTGCATTCGTCATTATCGAGTCCTTTTATTGCTGGTGGAATGTTGACCGCTCTTACTTACAACTCATTGATTAGCTTATGGGGGGGAGATCCGCATTCGTCTTGTGTATTATCAAAGCTTGTTATGTGCCTTGGTTTTAGTTACAGTTTTCTTCTACTCATTTCGATCTGTGCACAGGTTTCCTACTTTCAGGATTTTGTTAGGTCTTCCCCAAGGTCTTTCAGTTTTTGGCTTCTATCTGGTGATCTTCTTAATTATTGGTCGTTTTTCCTTATCTTTATGTGTTCCAGTCACCTCAGTATTTGCGTTTTAATTAAACTAGATCTTTTCACTTCATTAAGCCTTTTATTTCATGATTTATTATTCTTCTCATTTCTTTTTATAACTCTTTTTCGATTTTCTTTTCGAATATTCTTGATCATAATCTGTGAGGCACGTTGTTTCAGCTGCGTATCTAAATAAGAAAACTTTCTTAAATCAAATTCACAAACCATTGTATCGATCAACTCTTACCACTCTGCACAGTCGTAGAAACTCGCTTTCAGCGAAAACTGAAGAGTTGTTACAGGGCTTAATAAACAGAGAAATGATGAATATTAGCCTAATCAGATTTTGTATTTGCGACAACTAAAATTAAAAGTCGTTTTAAACAAATTATTATTTTTCAGATGTGCCATTCCAGAATGTGATCACAACGGTACAACGTTTGAACCAGATTGGCTACCAGCGGCCGTGCCGTATAAAAATAAGCTTCCAGAGAAATGTAAAAGGTATGAATACACAGGTGTTGATGGAAGCTGCAACCCCGAAGATTTTGATCAAACGAAAGAAATATCATGTTCTTCTTATGTGTACCAGACTAAGGAATGGAGTATTCTACAAGAGGTAAGCGTTTTAATTGTGTACCTAGATAATATACGTTTAAAATAATTTTAAATCCCAAAATTCAAAATACATTTTTAATGCATTATGGATTTCGTTTAAAATATATATAGACACAAAATAAATTAAAAAACATTTCTTTGACAAACAAAGTTAATGGATTGTGGACAAAAAAAGAAGTTACATAAAAACTAGAATGTTAAACAATTAATTAAAACTAGAAAGTAAATATTCGTTTATATTATAAAAATGACTACGTTAAAGAATGATTTGTAGTTTGTTTTTAAAATATTTTATGTCCCCACATTCTAATTTTACAAATTTAGCGACCTAAAGGTATTTTTTTTGGACAATTGAGCTAATTTTTCTCAAATGTCAAACATTATTTACTTCTACAATTATACAGGGTGGTACTTATATGTAAGTCAATAGAAGATTAGATTTTATTGTTGTTACGGGTTCTCTCTATAACAATTGTTTAAAAAAATATATAATAGGCTAATGGATTATGTCCCTAGTCATAAAAGGAAACAATACACACACAGGGTAAGTTTACAGGGAGACATTGGTCGATAATTCTATTATGGAATAAAATATCGAGAAAAGTTTAGGCAATGATATTCTCTCGGCTTGGATAATCTGCTAGATTTTACAGGGTTATTAATGACTACATGGTCAAGCAAACATGCAATATTTAAAATAGGACGCCCTCTATATTTTTTTTATATTTAGATTCCTCTCATAATCCCTGTTTTTAAAATATGCAGTTTCACACTACTATACATGGATATTTAACGAGTTATGACTATTTTTATTTCGAAATCGCTATAAAAGAAACACACTGTATATAATGAAAGTAAACAATATACTCCAGTCTTCAAATTAAATTTAACAGAAATAATTGACAAATATTCGTATATGGGGGAACTATAAAACAATTAAATTTTTTTATATTTTTAAATATACAACCCTATATTTTATTTTTCAAAAGATTACATTTATGGTCCCTTTCATTGTTATGAAGCATTTTCTATACCTAAGCTCATTACTTTTCGAGATATTTTTGGTTTCCATTTTTGTAAGTAAAAATTACTTATTTTGTGTAATAATATAACAAAATAATTCTTATTTAATAAATAACTAATACAAAACATAAATCAAAAAAGGAGCTTTAAAAAAATGATAATTTTCATATGACCTTTTTGGACAACTAAGATGATTCCTATTGAGAACCCATTCAGATAAGGTACGAGGATCAGCAACAATCCCTATTGGAAGTCTTACGTTGCCATGCAGGGTATCTGTTAATACTTTAACATCACAACATATTTTCAACAATAATATAACATACTTGATGCTTTTTATGATCTCAGTAGTCTTGCTGAGATGTTCTAGTATTGTGGAGTTTCGAATATTCTCCATCCAGGAAACTTTTAAAATTCGTCTATAGCACCACATTTTGAAAGCCTTAAGGCGATTTAGATCGATTGACAGTCCAGGACTCGACACCATAAAGTAAGACCGAGAACACGTAGCAGCGAAGTAGGCGGATTCTCAATGCCAATTTTAGGTCTCTGTTACATAACACCTTCAACATCCTTCTAAAAGCAGCTCTAGCCTGCTCTACCTTAGATCTAATTTCGCCATGACTTTCTGCGTTACAATTTAATTGCTGTCCAAGGTAAACGATTTTATCAACTTGCTCAAGTTTGGTATTATTTACATATATAGACGGTTTTATATACTGTTGTTTACTTATGACGAGTATTTTGGTTTTTCGTATGTTCAAAAACCTGCCTCTATACAACTCTCAACGACACTATCAAGTAGTGTTTTCAGATCTTCTTGACTAGAAGCTAGGAGTACTGTATCGTACACGTATCGTAAATTATTGATGACCTCACCGTTCACAAGTATTCCTTCTTGTTTTTCAGAAAGTGCTTTTCTGGAAATTGTTTCGGAGTAAACATTGACAAGCAGGGGTGACAAGAGGACAAGAGGCCTGTGATTGTACACCATGTATAAAAACTGATGTTGTTTGATTCCAATATAAATTTGCAATTATTCGAACATCTCTGCCGTTCAAGCTAATGTCTTTTAGAGCTTCGATCAATATAGAGTACTTAATACGATCAAATGCCTTTTGGAAGCCAATAAAACAGCAGTATATGTTTACAGATATATCTCGACATCTTTGAGCTAGTACGTTCATTCCAAACAGTGCCTTAGTAGAATTAGAATTATTCCAACCATTAGGTAGTTGTCCGCTGGTATAAATGGTATTGAAAAACGAAGTTATAGCCTCTAAAACATTGCTATCATTTATAAGCTTGTATATTTCATTTGGAATTTTATCAGTGCCAGTCGCTCTGCCATTTTTTCATGATTATATGGTTTTATAACCTCAGAGCGTGTTATTAGGGGTCCGTCGCAGTAATATCGGGAGGTGAACTACTCCTATCGTCTTTGAATAGGTTCGTGACATAATTTTCTGTTTTTTAATTTTCCCCTCTATTTCAAATATTACTTTACCATGTTCATCCTGTAGTAATGCAGTTTGTTTTTTATTGAAGATACCAGCCGCTTCTTTCACTTTTTTATACACTTTTAACGTGTCGTATCTGTTTTCAAGATCTTTAATGTCATGACACTATTTGGCTAGATGTTGACTCTTTGCTTCTCGTATTTTACGTTGCTTTTTTTTTGTATGCTGTTGTAATACTAGCGGAGGCAAGTCCGCTGTCACCACCGTAATATCCTCGGTTTAAACTTTAAAGGATGCTTATCTCTGCGAGCGGAGGCAAGCCTTACTGGTCCCACTAGTCTGAACTGGCTGGTTCGCCCTCGCGAGTTCAGGAGGCTAGGGAAAAACAGGATAGGGGCTGAAGGATACTCTGATGCAGGCCCTGTAAGGAGTCAGAGGTTATTGGCTTACTTTAGAAGCCGGAGAAATGCATAAGCGGAAATTGAGTACTCTTCTAGTCTCTGCCTGTAACGGCCGGGAAGGAACAATAAAACCAGACTTAGAGTCTACAAAAATGTATTAAATAGACTGTATACTACAATTAAGTTAACAAGCTATCAGCTATAACAAATAATGATTCGTTCAGGCGCGAAGGGAGACGAGAAGAGACCTTAGCAAGAAATTAAAGGGTGGACAATCTAGGTTTTATATATTACTTGGGTTAGTATATAGATCTAGGTACCTTCGCGTATTTAGGCCCTAGCTAATGATTACGCCCTTCAGTCCTACTGGAATTCAGGTTAAGTTTGTTGAGGTACCGCGCGCTATCACGAATTTTCGAAACACCCAAAACCCGGCACTTAAACGGTACTATTATTCAGTCGAAATACAATAGCGCACTTACTGGTGCCACGTAATTATTGTCCCGATCATCCGCGCTTCTGGCATTCAGCACTCACGAGTGCCGAGCTACTACTGACTGGTTGACCAATTTTTTTAGTTTTTATGTCCCGCAAACATTCCTAGTTTTTTTTGCTGATTCTGCTGTCTGTTCCACGTGTTAGAATGGATCATGCGATGGTGTGTCGCTTCGTTGTATTATTTTCCACGAAGGTTTTCAGATTTCGTTATTCTTAAACATTCAGGCTTGTGTTAAACTAGGTCAAATTGTTATTCTTTATATAATTTAAAATGTATACGTTAACTGTATCGAATTTATTCTTTATTTAATTTGGAATATATAATAATTATTTAAATAATTATTACTATTCTCTAGGCTACTACCCCTTATTTTTTTTCTTTATTTTCTTGGTATGTTTACATTACGCTGTTGTAAAGTGTTTCGTTGTTTTTCGCTAGTCGCCGTTGTTCCATCAAATCCAATATTTCATCTGTCATACAAGCCTGCTTGTTTAGCTTTGACTTGCCTTGTAAATTTCTCACACATATTTCTTTTAATGTTACGATTTTATTTAAGCCCTCATCGACGTTTTCACCAATATTTTCCCAAATTAAATTTTCGTTCAGTTGTCTTTGAACTGATTCATAAACTATCTCGTCTTATTGGCGTATCATATTTTGGAGACTTCTTTTTGATCACCTTTTTTAATTTTAATTGGGTTACAGCTACTATGGAATTGTGATCAGACCCATGTCAGTACCTGGATAAGTTTTAACTGCTTTAATGCAGTTTCTAAATCGATTTTGTATTAGAATGAAGTCGATTTGGTTCCTAATAATTTTGTCCTCTGAGTCTGCATTTGACTTCCAGGTGTATAGTGTTCTCAGTGGTAGTTTAAAGTGAGTATTCAATATAATGAAATCGTGTTCTTGACAGAACTGGACAAGTCGATCTCCACGTTCGTTTATGTTTCCCAAGCCATAATCCCCCACAATGTTGAAACAGCGTCTTTTGCCGACTTTGACGGTAAAATCTCCGAGGACTATGGTATTTTCTGCTGATCTGACAAGATTCTGGAGCATCAGTAAGATCTTTCTAAAATGTTTCTAATTTATCTTCATCACTGGATGAAGTTGGGGCATATACCTGAATTACATTGGTAATGAACGGCTTTGAACTAAATTTCACTAGCATTACTCTGTCAGATATGGGGATATAAGTTAATACTGATTGACCTAAGTGTTTTGCTACCATGATTGCAACTCCATTATAGTGATTGGCATTGGTATTTCGGCATGGTACGACTATGATTGGCATCGGTATTCAGCATGATACTGATCCATCTACGTCACATACTATGACCCCGGCAACCGCATTTCACTTATTCCGAGAATGCTGATTTGTATTCTTTTCATTTCTTTTATGGCATTATATATTTTACCTGACTCAAACATGCTTCTGACGTTCCATGTGGCTATTTTGCGGTCGAAGTGAGTTTCTTGCGATATGTTCAATCAGACTACGTAGAGAAAGTGCCATCCTGCAGTCATCCAAAATCCTGGCGAAACTTTTGAGCATCTCTTGAATGATGCATTTAGGAATAATTCTTGAAGACTGCCATCAGGGACGAACTATTTA